TAATAACTACATTAAATGGTTGACCTTGTTTAAGAGCATTATTTTATTAGCACCTTTTATAATAAGTATAATGGCAATAAAGTAATATTTTCAATTATCGCTTTCTAATTACTTTGAAGTGTAACAGAAAACAAAAAGTAGTGTGCTGTTCTTGTGTGTTAAGAAGTGTTGAGTTAAGTTGGTTTAGAAAATACCTTTTAAAAGAAATACTAATTATTATTAATTATTTTTATAAAATCGGATTTATTATATTTATAAAATCTAATTAAGAAAGCTTTGATACTCCTTCAGAGAAAATTTCGCAACGCTCCAGGCTTTAGACACACTTGGTCGCCTGGATGTACTTGAGGAAGTGGAAAAATAAGCAGAGGCTTTTGGTGTGTGTGCTTTGCTTAAGATCATTTATGGCAGAATTATGCATATTTTTATTGCACTAGACTTGCATAAATTCAGGCATTATTGCACTTTACGACCAGCTGCTGTCCATACACCCCCGCCACCACACCTCCTCACAGGTGACTGGCATGCAATGTCGGAATCAAAAGCCACAGACATAAAGGGAGCAGGTGGAGTGGATCGTCATCGGACATGGAAGGCATAGATTTTTGCATGCCTTGGCCTGTCACCGAGGAGGTGTCCCTGCTGCAGCTGTCCTGGCTGCACTTAAACACCGAGCCCTTCGTCCTTGGGCCCGTGCACAGGACTTTTGTCGAAAATTTCTGTCATTCGGCATGTCCGCCGCAGCCCACCCCACTCCCAAACCCACTCGCCCTACCAATGCCGATGATGTTTGGCAGGCTGCTTTGAAATTTAGATTTTTATGACTTCTACGGGGGGAGGGATGCTGATGACGAGAGTGCTGAAATTGGCTCTCATCTATTAGAAATGCACAGTTCGGCATTATTTGCCGAATAAACTGTGGAAATATGCTAAAATTTCGGCCAGTAAATGCACAGGTATTCTTAGGGGTGTGCCGTGGCTACCATAAAAAGGGTTAATGGCCATAGAAATGCGAGACTTGTCAGCAGGAATTGCTGGGGAAATTATTGAAATTCTTTTAGGTGTTGTTTGCCTGGTCCGCCCTGTTGATATTGCCACTCGAATCGGATGTGACAGCGTTTTACTTTTTATTTCTATTCCTGCTGCATAATTTCCACCCCTTCGCACCCCCTGCTAAGTGTTGGTTTACAAATGTGGCACGCTTTTAGGCTCGCATTATGCCAAGTGTTTGAGTGAGTTTCGAGTGTTGGATTCGAATTTCCTGGCACCCACTCACCCACCTAGGGGCGGCCAACTTATGTGGCTGCAAAGTTGCCGTGCCAACTTCATCAAGGGATCGAAATCGAAAAGTGTTAGGCAAATGAGATGTGATAGTTTTCGGAGTGTTAGCAAGGAAGCCCAGGGTGTTTCGGGGTGAGATTGGAATGCGGGGCTTCTGTTGGGTTAAGGAGGCTCCTCTGGCCTCCCAAGCCATTAAATTCCTCTATCAACTCTAATTTAATGCTCGCCACAACGCTTTCGATTGGCCTGAGCTCATAAAGTATACGCACTGGTGGCAATTTGCCAAGCCAACACATAACTCTTATTTCCGCTGTCCAGGGGGAATTTGTTGTTTTGTTCACATAATTCCATTGAAAACCATTTTTATGACGGCGAATATTGTTTTCGTAAAAAAATTAAAACATTGCTTAATGATCACAAAAAGTTGGGGATAAAATGGCAAACGATTGCAGATTATATATTGCAAATAATGACACGCCCCGACCAACACCGCCGGCCTGAGCTTAAATCCCTGGCACATTAAACGCTTTTTAATTCGATTTTTTACGATTTTATTCCGGCGCTGTTTGTTTGCGTCTTTGAGGCTATTTTATCATTTGCCGGTGCCGCCGCTGCCGAGGCTGAAAATCATTGTCTGCCATTGAAAATAATTTAATATGCAAATTATTATAAATGCACATCACTTTGCAGAGTAATTTTAATAGCTGCCACTGTCGAGCCAAAGCAAAACCAGCAAAAAAGGACTTAAACTGATTTCACACAGGGCACAAACCAACCGCAATCGATGAATCGCCCCCGTTGGAAAGGCGTGCAAAATAAATAAATAAATAAACAAACAAACCAGTTCAGTACTCGAAATTTGAGCTGTTTATATCGATGCATATATACACATATTTTTTATGCACTTTAACGATAATTGTTTAAATACTCTCAGGGCTTGGTCAAAAAGTTGACAAACTCTCTGTCGCACTGGCTGACTCGCCGGTTATTCCCCTTTGTTTGTTGACACAGTTTAAGTGGCCGTGGCAAATGTGCAAATGCGTATTTTAAATGGTTAATTAATAGAAATGGTTTATGAGCTGAAAAGCGAGACTGCCTTGGGCAGACTGGCTAAATGATGAAATGCGACAGGCTTTGATATGTATACCGATATGCTATATTCAGCCTATATCATACATTTCCCTAAGTGGTAACTCAATGCCTTTCTTATATTTACAGGTTTCACATATTTATTGTGTTAGGGAAGGCCTACTTAGATTGAGATACTTTAAATTACAATCAACTATCTTGGCTAATGTATAGTTCTGGGAGGCTTTGTCCTGATAGGCTTTGACCAACTATCAGTTCTTTTATACAGTCCGGAAAAGTTGAAATGTGAAAGTTGAAATATGTATTCCGAAATTTAAGTCTTTCCTTTATAAGTGTCGGGAACACATAAGTTCTCTCCATAAACATTTTAAAGCATAAATAACTTACAGTCACACCTATTTAATCTTGAGCAGGATCTCTAGCTGAGTCGATATATATATATATAGCCATGTCTGTCCGTTTGATCCGAAAGATCTCAGGAACCATAGTATAGACACTATCTGTAGCATGCTGGTGATAATTCATTCTGTCAATAGCTTTTAAAACTAAAATAATCTAAAATTTAAACAAAATCCTATTGAAGGGTATGTTTAAAGTCAAAATTCCATGAAATGGGAGTACAAAAGCAAGCAATATGTTAATCTGATGGAGTCGCGGTATTATGCATAATCCTAAACATATTTAAAAATACGTGTTACTGGAAACTACGCGTATACAACCTTATAAAGTATATGTGTTATTGATAAGGATTACGGGCGGAGCGGCTATAACTGACCGTATGAACGCCGAGATCTCTGGATCTATAAAAGCTAAAAGGATGTAATTAAGCTCGCTGATTTAATTGCTTGTGGAGCCCACAGTGTTGATGTTATATTTAAAATTATAACTGAAATGTATTTAGTCAATAAGTAGGAATTGACTCTACACACATAACAAATTTTATTGGTCTACTTAATTAATGCATGTTCCTGTACAAATAGTACGTTACTATATTAACTAGTTGTATTTGTAATTCTTTTTATAGTGTTTACCATTAATAGTTAAACTTCTAGTGACATTGTTACGTTAACGTGATGTGTGCATTTTGTTATTGCAATGGTAAACAGTTAATAAACTAGCAACAAGAAAGGAAGCTTACTTTGCCAAGCCGAAGTTTCTATACCCTTGCAAGTCGTTACCATGGGAGCATTGTATGTACAGAGCCTTCAGATTTTGGTAAAACTAAAAACTAATTACAGGGTTATATAGATAATGTTCCATTTTAAGGTACTACCGTATATAAACGAAATAATAATTAACCCGATGGTTCCTGTGGCATCCATCTGATAAAGTCGTCGATTTTTTTTTAAATTTTATTCGACAGTCTGAAATATTATAAGAATGATATTTCCTAGACAAAAAGTTTATATTTCAAAAACACCAAAGTTATAACTTTTTTAACATTAAACAAATTTTTTCTTTATCCTTTCTATGGGAGCTATGAGCGGCTAGTTCCAAATATATATATACTTTATGAGGTCGGTAACGTCTCCTTTACAGCGTTTCCAACTTCTGAATAAAATCATTATACCCTCTGCAAGGGTATAAGAATACCTCTTAACGAGGTTAAAACAATGTGTCGATCGTAGCTTCAGCATACAAAAGTTTTGATATACAGTTTTGTGACGAAAAATGATTTTAAATTCGACATAATAAGTACACTTGCTAAAAGGTATTAATTTGTCCCACTACAATAGAAAATGACCGTACGGATGAAGCTTTAATATTTTTAACCCTTTATGCGTTAAGCTCTACGTTTCTTGAAAAATTGCGTTAATGAGAAAACTTGTATTTATTTATTTGTGTGGTGAAGGTGCGATCGTCTCTAGTGTTTTACCTCGATAATAGGTGTTTTTGCTTAATACAATATACTACATATTAAACAATTTAGTAGTTTACATTTCAACCCCTTTTTAAATTTTTAGCGGACTTTAATAAGGTTTTCTTCTTCTTCTTTCTCTCCTTTTGGCTTGCCTACTGTTTGCACAGAGCCCCGCCCAGCGGTTTGTAAGGTACTCGCCTTCCATTTGGCACAACTGCAAACCCGCCCGCAAGCCCGCGATGTTTGCCCCCCCATGGCAATGTGTTTGCGCTTTAATTGAATATAAATGTAAATTAATGATGCAAAAATAATTTTTGCTTCGAGGCTTACCTCGCTTTTACCCGCTTTTCCGCATTGCTTGTTTATATTAAAGTATGCGCGTACGTGTGTGCGAAGTCGCCAAACTCGCTGTTGTTGTTGTTGCAGTTTGTAAACATTTTCATTTGGCAGCGTTTTCAGCTTTTACAGGCAGTTATGTAATTAATTTGCATTTAACTAAATTTACATAAATAAATACGTAGGAATTTAAGTGGGTATAATCTACCTATACGCTAATGTATTTGTGCGAACACTTTTACTCCAGTAGGCGCCACAAAAATCGAATTTAAATTCAGAGTGAAAGCAAAAATAGCTTTTGTTTAAACGGGAGCTTAAGAGAAAATAACAGTGGATTTTCCCAGGATCGACATACCCGTCGACAATAAAAACACGTTTAAAATTCTATATATATATATATATATATTTAATATATATTTTATTTTATTGTTTGTTTTTATTTTTTCGGTTTTCATCATTTGTTGTTATAGTAAAAGTTGCTTAGCTTGCGGTTTTAGTATATTACAAAATTATTTTAGTGAATAACCTAAAAACATTCATAGAGAGTAGTGGTTGTAGTAGTCGGAACTTAGCTCACAATCAAACAATGTAGTTCACAATAGATAAATGATGTTCGTCCGCCTGTCTGTCCTCCTCACTCGGCTTCCTGTTTTCCTGTTCTCATTATCAATTAGTTCGGTATCAAAAATGTCTGGAGTGTAACTGTGTCGGAGTGTGGCTGTACGTGAGTGTTGATTTGGCTGGGAGAGTAGAGGCAACCGCTTGCATTTTATCCTTAAACAGATTGAGGTTAGGTTGAGCTCAGTTTGAGGTTGGGTCGAACTGAAGATGTGCTTGGGCCAGGTGACGGCGACTGAAGAGCGCTTAAGGAAAGCCCGTTCGGGGATTTACTGGCATTTAGGAGGTATTAACTGTGGTTTCTGCTGCCTCTCACTCAAGTACAGTTGCCTCCGTTCTCGCAGAGCTCGGTTCTGTTGTCTATAGCTTATGATCAAGTGGTGTTATCCTTTTATCGGGCTTTACTTTAAGTTTATTCTGGGGATTGACCTTAACGTTTTTTCTGGGGACTGCTTTGGGGTTCTGTGTGGTTGGCTTTAGCTATATTTATCCGTACGTTACAATATTTATATGTTTGTATGCATATGTATATGTATCTATGTGGGCCTGTTTGTATGTATGTATTCCGTTTCATGCAGGACTTATACACAAATACTGATGATGTTTCTAAGATGCCGGCTATGTTAGTTCTCTTTGATTGATGTATGGTATGTATGCTTCTTCCTCCAATTCGATTTGCTCCTGTTTCCTCGTATTCAATATGCAACTTTGCTACTATGGCTAACGACAATGCAACTACAATTTTTGGGGGTTTTCTAACGACACATTTAAATATTTTGCAAACTGCTCTACTTTAAAATAGTTTTTGTTTTATGTTTTAATCATATGCAATTCGATTTCAGCCTTCCCTAACCTTCTTTAACTTTCCTACTTCTCGCCCCTGTTCCTGTTCCCATTTCCGTTCCCGTTTCCGATTCCGACCTCTCTTCGATCGATCATTTCCGTTTCCGCCAATAGGCTGCCAAAAAGTATGCTACACGTTTCCTCACGATCGTCACTACGTCTTACTGTTATCTTTTGCCTAGAGTTAGAGTATTTTTTAGCCTACCTCTCGTCTTCCTATTGATAGCTATGCGTTTGCTCATTATTGCTTTTACTTTTACGTTATTTCTCATATACTCGTATATATCTATTAATATTAGTTATCCTGGGGGTCTCCCGCTGCACATCTCGTCGTGCTCAGGGTTTCTTTCGCTTTGAAAAAATCAAGGTACACACTAAAAATAGTTAGGTTTTGTTTTATCGCTTTAGGTAGGTTGTGTTTTGTTTTGGTATCTCGTCTCTCTCTCTGCGTCCACGTTCATTCACTTTTTCGCCTTCCTCGTTCGCAAAATAAAAACTTTCAATAGAGGGCCTAAGAACTTATGCACCTATCTTGATACTACCAACATGCTACATTGTTCTCTGAGTGTGCGGGTGTGTTGTGTGTATGTTGTGTGTGTTGTGTGTTTGCTACTTTAGCACTTTGACGGAGGTTCTTCGCCTGGTTCTCGAGAGGCCTTTGAGTGGATGGACAAAAGGTGTCTTTGAGGCATCTGCAGAATGGGGAAACAAGTTAAACGAGCTAATTGGGTCACTTTTAAAAACTTATTAGTTTCCTGAATGGAGTCCTGCGCTCAGCTTTTTCTGCGCCAACAAAGGACCAGAGTCAGAGTGGGCCAAAGCAGAGCGAAAAAATGCTAAATGCTTTAGACGGATAGAAGGCAGAGCCAAGTGGACTTGGCCGACAAAGCATTGAGCCAGCAGTGCCTGAGAATGGCCAAAGCCAGGGGAACAGACGGACTTTAAGGCTCTGCTCTGCATTCCAAATTTTCTGCTCTGGACCGCTATCGTGCCAGGAAAAGTTTGGCCAAGAAGCCCGATTCATTGGCTTAATCTGTGCAGACTGTCGGTCAGGTTGTTGCAGCTCTTTATCAGCTTATATCCCCAAGACACCATTGTCCATACCTCAGGGTTCCATCTCTGGCTATATGTTTCCAGCATGTTTGTGTGTTCTGTTTTAGCTTTAGTTAGATTATTTTAGTTTAGCTTTCGTTTAGTTCCCCTTTATTACGCTTTGTATATGTAGTTTTTGAAACTATTTTCCGACTTTTTATCGTTTCTATCGCAAGTACATTTTCCAAAACCGTTTTTGTTGTTTGCATTTAATTAAATTATATGAATACATTTCCTCTGTTTCTGTGTGTGAGCTGTGTGAGCTGTGTGTTCTGTGTCTGCTCGCCAGTTGGCGAAACTAATTTCCAATTGGCGAGCCAAAGAAGGAATGTTTTCGTTTTAGTTTCCTTCCGCTGGCCTTTGTAATTGTGCGCCTTGTTTTTGCCCATTTCCCCGCTCCGGCTTTTCCGGGCAAGAAGTTTAATTAATGTGCCAAACAAAGGTAAAAGAGGCAAGAAGAGTGGCCAGGTTGCTATGACAAAGGACAAAGCGGGCGAATCGAAAGCCAAAACTATGAGAACGATGTCGGTTGTCGGTTGTCGGTTGCTCATCGCTCCTAATTAGACCTAGTTGGACTGCCAGCACGGCTGGAGGCGCTGGCACTCAGCTGGAAGGGATGGGACTCGGGGAAAGGAGGTCCATTAAAAAGTTGCCGGCAAGTGGGAAAACCTCAAAAACAGGATGGCCCATATATAAAGGCCGCGCCTCTGGCTGCACCAAAGTTTCACTTTTTTCGCTAACAGGGCTAAAGTTTTGTCAGTGTGAGTGCGTGAGTGTGTTGGTGTTGGTGTTGGTGTGAGGCAAACTTTTAATAGTTTAGCGCAAAAAAGTATTTCCGCTTGTTGTTTAAATGTTATTTTGATTGTTTCAACTTTGCATTTGCTTTCTGCTTACGCCAACTCGGCTCTAATCTTAGTTACAGCGGTTATCCTAAAATATATGTGATTTGTATATATAGCGTGCGATTTCGCTCGATCGCTCAAAGGGGGCTTATCATCATCGCTCTCTTTCTTTTGGTATAAAAATGGGTTTCTTGTTATCGCTTCATGCTTCGCTTTATTTGTTTTTTATTCGTTTCTTTTCTGTTTTGTATAAAATACTCACATTCACATTTACAACTACGAACCACGTAACTACTTATAGATGTATGGTATTGTATATATAGACTTTATAGATATAGTTATCGTATGTGTATATATAAATTTACTTTATATGTATGTCGTATGTATATGGTATATTTTTACTACTTCGAGCAGATCTTGGCGGCGCCGTCGTACGTTTCTAAGTGTCCTCTAACCGTCTATCCGTATGCAGTAATATAGAACCTAGTGAGACATCCAATCCTACGCCTAGAGCTGCTAGAGCTGATCGAGAGCCGTACCTAATCACACACCCTGTATAATGCTTCAACTCCGCCTTTCCTTCCGTGGCTCGCAATTCCGCAGTAGTTTCCCGTTCTCCGTCCGTTAGAGTATATTTACAACTTAGGTCTAGAAAAGTTATAGCCTACCGTGCTAAACGTAGAGATATTAGTAGAACGACAGCGAGTAAGAAAGAGAGGAGGCAACACTTTGAGTGTTCAGAATATCTATGCTTCTTTTCTTAATTTCGTTTTGTAGTTCAGAGAGCAGGTAGATTTGCATTAGGTAACTTAGGATAAACTTAGGATAAAGCGCGAGTGTAGTGTCGTCAGAATAGGTTAACCGAAACAAAACCTGAAGATACATTTGTGCAAACTGCTTAGGAGTGAATTGATAGCAATAGGTCGACAGCGTTCACAGAAATGTTGTGGAAACGCATCGATTCATCTTTATCCTGATGCAACATGCCTTTAAATCAGACTAAAATATTTGTAAATTGTGTGATGACAATTCATCTCTCAGTTATCGCTCTTGCCATCAATTAATTTCCGTTCCTAGTCTTTTGCAAAACAGAGTAAATTCATCCAAGTCTTTTCTAAAATTACGTTAAACTAAATCCCTTCTCATTCGAATCTGTCTCTCTCAGTTTGCTTCTTAAATGGACGTATAAAGTTTATGCATGCTTGTGTCGTGTTTGTTCGTTTGTTTGTGTGATGTACTTGTGATCTTCCGCTCGAACTTAGTTCCTCCTAGTAGCTCGGACTAAACTTAACTGGGGGAGGGATAAAGGGCCTGATGCGCGTTCCTCCACTTGCCACTTGATGCCTTTCCCTTCTACGATTGTTTCTTGCAATGCCCAACAAAACCCATCAGACGCTCAAGCTTTACATAAGTCAGACCCTATATGTATACATAGATATCTAAATATAGGTGTATGGTTTATATCCGTTATGGTAGAAGGAATGACTGCTCTATATATATGTAGTCATGGTGTATATCTATAATATCTGTATCTTTTACAATTTCGCATTTTGTATATTTAATAACGACAACAACAACTAATTATTGCTTTTCGGTTTTTCTCGACATTGTTTGCCTGTTTTTTCGACATTTGTTTTTATTTTTTCCAGCTTAGACTACTTAAAAAAATCATTAATAATTTACTAAAACTCTAGAACAAAATCAACAAAACTGTGGAGGGAGGAGCTTAAATAAATGGGCGCTTGGGACCAGCAGGTGTACGGGGGAGGGGACGGGAAAAGCTGTTATACGCTAGCTTATTATGAATATTTCATGTTTTCCTCTTTTCCGCATTTTCATTCTGCTTCTATTTGTATCTGTAGTAGGATTAGGAGATGTCATTTGTAGTTCGAGAGCTGTAGTTGAGTTGCGTTCGCCGTTCCAGTACTCTATTTTGTTTTCACTGATTCCCCATCTGTTCCTCAGCTGTGTGGTTAGTTTAGTGTGTTGAGACGGTGGTGCCTGTGCTTCCCGCTGCCGCTGCTGCCGCTGGTGCCGCTGCTGCTTCGCCTGCCGCCGGGTCCCCTTCAATTCCCTCACGTCCTGAGCATCAGCAGGAGCCACCAGGAGGAGGCCCCCAGCCAGAGCAGGCAGCTGATGAACTGGCGCCCGCTGCCGCGGCTCAGGCCGTGCACGTCGGTCGCCGAGCTCCGACTGCTCCGCGCCGCGCCCTCGATGATGTTGTTGTTGTCCAGCTCGTGGAGCACCGGCAGCTCGCTGAGGTCGGAGGCGGGCGGCGGAGCGGTGCGCTCGGTGGGCGGGGCCAGGGGGCGCTTCGGCTTGCACCGGCGGTGCTTCTTGTAGGTCTTGGTCACATTAATGCTGTACCCCTCGAGGAACTCGGAGCCCTGTGGGACGATAAGAGCGGGGAAATAGCAAACATTAGCGGCTGCGACTCTGGATCTGTACACAATAAATTACGACATTAATTAAATTTTTCTCCTTTGCCAACGCTTTTGGGTTGTTTTCCTTTCGGGATGGAGCCAGCGAGAGCAAGGAAATTGAAAAGCTTATTTATGCCGTGGACAGTGCAACAAAAACGGCGGAGGACGTGGGCCAAGAAAAACGGTCTGTAGGATACTCTTTACAGAACAAAGTGTTTTGGGTAAAATCCAATTTATATCAACCTTTTTTTACTGTTTGTATCTCAAATTATATAAATCTAATTCAGAATTAAGAATTCAAAAAACATGTATACTTTTTAAGAAATCTATAGGCTGAGCTCTACAAACAGTAGGCAAACAGTAGGTCCCCTTCGTTTTATATTAAATGTGTAATCTAGATAGGAAGTACGATAATAAAAATATTTTAAATTAAATTATATCAAAAAGTATCATCAGCTCACGGAAATAGTGCCACCAAAACATTTTCAAAACAGAGATACAAAGAGAGATACGAAAAGAGATAGGGCAAACAGCACCCAAGCTTGAGCAAAATCCCGGTACAATCGCAAAACAATGAGGCTTCAGAGCAGGGTTCCCACCCACTCTTCCCACGCCCACACGGTGTTTACTCCTGGAGTCCCCAGTGAATTCGTTGGCAAAATTTTGTGTTTTAATTACGCTGAATAAATTTGTGTTTATAAATAGGGGAGCTGGTGGCGGGGAGATCCTGGGACTTGGCTGCGGTCAAATATTTTATGCCCAGTCGAAAATCTAAATCTAGCGAATGTCTGCATTTGCGTGGGGCGGGTGGGTGGTCGGCGGTCGGTGGGCGTGGCTGACTTCATAACGAGTGTTTACTAATAATATTATGCAAATCGCGCGACGGCCACGGCGACGACGACGGCAGAGCTCGTTGTTGGTTGTTGAATTTTTGAAAAGGCATTTTGTGAATCGTTTTGGGGCCGTTCGCAGAAGGACCATGGGAGCCACCGAATGCTTGACAGACGTATCCAGGTGTGGGCCTGCGAGGAGTTCGCCTTGTTGCCACTGACAGACATTTTAATTGAAAAGGAATGTGTGTTTGTTTGCGCCGCCGCTGTTTCCATGGCCATTCAGGTTGAACAGTATAAAATGTGCAATTTTGTTTTATGCATAAATTGGAGGCTTTAATACCTCGCTCTGGCCTAAATTTACTGGCTGCCCCAAAGCTAGGCCATAGATATTCTCGATCCCGTGTGCAGAGATTGACATGCTAATTAGGTTGGTCGGCTTTGTCCTTTTTTGGTGCTCCGCTTTGCCGGCTTTGAAAGCCAAGGCAGTCCCAAAAAAGTGCGCTACCATATTTTGTATTATGCTAATTAGGTTGACCCAAAATAAGGGCCCATAAAGGAGTTGGTGCTAAGTCTTGATAGTACTGCACGGCCCTTTGTGCCGGTCATAACTTTATATCAATCAATCAGTTTTCAGGGCATTTCCCAGTTGGTTAGGCGCCCGGAATTTGTCGGGCTAAGTCCCAGCCCCATTGCTCAGTGAGCCCCATCAGCTCGAGATCTTTTTGTGACCAGGAACTAGGCCTTCCGACTCACCGAACCCCGGGATCTGAGGGCTTTGTGAAAACTAATCACAGACTTCTTCTGCTCCTTTGTCACCTTTTTGCCGCTGTATATTTTCCGCTACATTTAACTGCCGTTCACCTTTTGACCAACACACACCCACGCAGAACTATGTCATTTTTTGCCCGCCTCTGTGCTAATTTGGGCGCTTCGGGGCTTTTTTACAAATTCGATGGGCCTGTCCGTCAAGTGGGTGGCCACAGGATGGGGATGCGGATGGGGTTCTGCCTCCGGGTGAGTTCTTCAATGAATTATTGACTAAAGGACAGCTGCAAAAAAATGGCAGACTTAACCGAGCCGAGCTGAAATGGGCAACAACATTTAACGCAATAGCACGGAAAATCGATGGCAATCCAAGCGTTGATAATTTTGCTCGAGAGCCGCAATCGAAGTCGAGCCACAGGCGAAAACTCAGAGTGAACGCCGGGCCAAGTCAGTGGCATAAAAATGGCAACAATTTCCAACTTAAGCAATTTCCCGCAATTTCCACAGTGCCAAGTATTAAAGGCGGCCCGGAAAGCGGGAAAAGAGAATGCCGGAGAACCCTGCTCATATGGGAGCATTCAGTCAGCTGGTCTAAACCATTTTGGACGTGAATTAGAGCCAGCTGGCTGGGAAGCGTTGGTCCTCCAGTTCGCCTCACTGTGTGACCCATTAGAATGATCGTTGTCGAAGTCGTACGTGTGTTGGCCTGATATATGCGACTCGGTCGGCCAAAGGGAGGCCCTCCATCCACCATCCACCATCTACCGTCCACCACCATCCACTTTCCACTCTGCACTCCATACTCTGCACTCCAGACTGCCGTAAAGTGGCGCCTAACAAACTCGAACGAACGCTGCCCATGGCCGCAATGCAATTGATTGCACTTTATAACGTGCGGTTTCCGGTAGACATTACCCGCATTTTGCCCCAACCGATGGATGCGGGGGCTGTGGGGATGTGGGCAGGCCCTAATGTCTTTTCTGCTTTAACTCTCCTGCTGCACCACCCGCTCAATGAATAAATGAGCACTTGTCTGGGTCCTGCTGCTGTATGTGGGTGTGGGTGGGGCCATCAAATGGCAGCAAGAAAAATTATCCCAGATATTGTCTAGCAATTTAGCTGATTAAGCTGATGGATGTAAAGCAGCAGGAGCAGCAGGAGGAGCAGGACGAAATGCTCGCTGCGATTAGGGCGAACGAGCGAAGTAAGAAGGACGAGATTGAGATGCCCAGATAGATAAAAAGGGTTAATGCGATTTCAACTGTGACAGAGCGGACGGACAGGGAGATTGCTGGGAAAGTGGAGCACTCCGTCTTCGGGACATACCCATACATGGCTGCTGTGCGGCTATCATCGGGCATAAATCGAAAAGTCTGGCTTTAACTTACCGGCACCACATGGTTCTTGGCCCCCCAGCAAATGGGCTTGAAGCTGCCCTTGCGTGTGGCCTCCTGGAATTCGCCAAATTGATTCTCCCAGTCGTAGGATATCAGACGTGCCTCCAGTGTCATTCCGGCCAATTCGGGTGGCGATGATATAAGCACTGGGTTCGAGTCGCTGCAAGATAAGACATAAGAGATGCGAGGCGTTAGAGGGATGCTGAGAGATGCTAAATAACATTATTAACTTTATTATTATTGTCAACTTTGATTAGGACTTAAAATTTATTACACTCGCAAGCCGAAGTGCGATGGGCCCCGCCAAAACAGTCTGCCACCCCGAAAAGGCGCTTTGCCAGCAGATTTTCAACTTTTACCCCCAGAATCGAGGAGGCGGGATGGTCCTGATCCCCGGCTGGCGGCTGGTGGCTTCCCTTCCCCGGTAAGTCCTGGCAGATTTACGCTCGGATTTTCCTCGGGAAAGGCGCGCGCTCAACAAAAACTTGAGCTAATTAATCTTTTAGATTTTCATTTGTGACGCGTCAAATACGTTGTTACAATTTCGGTCTGCCAAAGCGAAATAAAAACCGCACACGAACCGGGCAGAGACCTCGAGGGGAAGAAAAACCTAACAAATGGGCCAAAAGTGTAAAACCTCAGCGCCAGGCAATCAGTGGCGTAGTCCGGGGGGTTGGATTCGGAACACCCCGGCCGGAAGAGTCGAGGGAGATGACTAATGGATTGGCTCATGGAAGTCATTTCTGTGGCTCTGTTTGTTTGCTGATTATTCAATTGTGTCAATCCCGCTGCTCGGGGCCTTTCTCCTATAACAAATATGTATAATTTGGCTTTTTAATTTGATTTCTGTTTTTACTTAGGACTACCAATTTATCACGAGCAGAGTGTTTTAAAGGCTTGAGGGCAAGGGACTTTTTTAGAATCGGACTGAAAGGACGATTTATTGTCATTAGTTGTTGTCAGATTGCCGCGATTTTACAAAAGAAAGGGAGCTTTGGAAAGCTCAGAAAGCGAATTGAACACATTGATAAATGGAGACGAAGTAGCGTTTAAGTAGAGATAGTTGTAAGACCGAGGTAAAATAGAGTAAAATTAAATTAATGTAAAAGGATTGCTTTTAAGTTTCTGTCATCCTCTATCTTTTTTTTGAATATTTAAAAATTCTACCAGATTGGCTGCCGTTTGAATAAACAAAAAATCGACCCTTTATTGACTAGCACATCTTTCTAGCGGGCTCAAAACTATGCACCCAAAACTCCTGCGGATCTATTATTTAATCCCTGCGCAAGATAATCCATGCCACAGCTGCACCCCTTTTGCTCTCTACACCACTGGCCGGGATGTTGTGCAATATAAATTCCTTCTATATATTCATCTCATTCATTCCCTCCATTCATTCATTTCGCTTCGTTTGGCTTGGTTGGCTCAGCGCTGTCTGCCCCTCGACATGTCCGCCCGCCCTTACAATTAGGCTAATTAATTTTGTTCTTTGCCGGGCATTACGAAAAATGTTGCTTTAATTTCATAGAGCCCACACACATAGCCATGGCCGTGGGTGGAGAGGGGGTGAGGGGGGCGACGAACGCACATTTTCTTTGTGCTCTCCTGTGAGTTGTTTTTGGCGGCTGGCAGAATCCTTTGGAAGCCGCAAACAAATCTCTTTTAATTAATTTATGATTCCACTCAATCCGCATCGAGGGTTGTGTCTGCGATAGTCCTCTGCGAGTGGAAAAGGTGCCGTAGTGGCGGGGGGTGGCAGGGGTGACTCCTGCGGCGAGCCAGGGGGAGGGGGTGGAAGTGCCGCTGCAGCAGCCGCAACAATTTGCGGTTGGAAACACGAAAAATATTAATGTCTGCGGATTGATTGCAAAACCCCCCCTCACCCACTTCCTCTAATGGCGCTGGCCACTTGTGCGAGTCCTCCCGCATGTCCATGTCCGTGCGGTCCGTGTCCGGGTCCATGTCCTGCGTCCCGCAATAATAATAATATAAAATAATATATGGCCCGCCCTTCTCCGTCCATCTGTTTTGCGGCAGTGCAGTGCACTTGCACAAAAATTATGGGTAGTTTCGGCATTAGATTCAAAATAACCTAGATATGTTATGAGCCCCTTATTATAAGTACTTTTAACATTTCCTTAAAAGGAAGTACTAACATTAAAGTTTAATTTAATGTTTTTCAGGAAACGTTTACTGTCACTTTTTAATAATAGATTTTTGTATGATCATAAGATATTTCATAACAATATGAGAAAACTCTCTATAAATAAGGGCTTTCCACTTAAAACTAAGAGTCAACGCACTGGGAAATCTACCTTAAAGACACGTTAAAGTTGGTTATCATCAAATTGTATATATTCTGATTTACAACTAAGTAAATTATAAGTAGTCGTAAAAAATAACTTTGGGGTTCCTTTGCAAATCGGTTGTATAAATATTTTACTTGAAATCGACGTCTATAACTTATGAGCTTTCTTTAAGCACTCCGAATCTGCATCAACATCGGGGTTTAGACCTTTTCTCCCTGTGTGTCTGCAGTGCAATCTCCCTTTTACATTGGTGTTTTGCGGTTCATTGGATGGGTGTCGATGGGGAGTGGGGGGCGGGGTGCAAGGTTCGCTTGCTAATATATCCGGCCTGCATGACCGTAACCGAAGCCGCCGTGACCTCCCACACACATATAATAAATATAAATGCAGTGGAAACTCACACAGATGTGGGTAATGTAAAAACGGGATAACATCCTCTCGAGGATGTGCCCCGCCCACCGGCCACCGCCCACCACTCACCACTCGAACGCCCCGCTGTGCGGCATCAATCGCCGGCGTTTTAGCCTTATCGCCATTGACTTCATTGGCACTCAGTATAATTAAAATGATGGCCCAGCAGCAACAGGAATCCGGCCAACTAGCCGGCAGCAACATTCGGCAGGACAAAGGATCCCGGGCTGCGAGTGGGATTGGTGCGGGGGTCACTGGTTTGGCACTGTTGATTATAAAATCCAATGGCACGGCACATCACAATGCAGCCCCGAAATGCATTTCGAGCGGAACCGGCTCCAGGCCATGGCCATGGATTCCAGCAGCAACTCCAGCTCCTGCTGCACTTCTGCACTTCTTGCGCCATCCATTTCCACTCCGGGCTCGGACTTGGGTTCGGGTTTGGGCTGGGGTTTGGGTTGGGGTTTCAACTGCAATGCGCTTTGCAATGGTTTATTTATGTAGCGTTATGACGACGGCGCAATTCCACAAAGGAGGCGGAGGGCGTGGCACAGTAGCTCTGGCGGAGGCCAAGTGTGTGTTCGTGTGCATTTATGACCTCCTGCTCGCATGGGGCAGAATTCAATTTTGAAGCCGAATGCAATTGCAATTGGCATAACGACCAAATGACCGTTCTTGATGACAAATGAAAACTAAACTGGGCAGGGTGGGGGAGAAAATGGATATGCGATCAATCTGGCTATTAAAATCTCTCAAAAGAAAAAGGAAGCACATATCATGCCACTTTAAATCAAAGCTAAACGATAATAGAGCTTCGGCCAAATAGCCGTTCTAGAAAAAATCACAAAACAACTGTTTTTGATGGCCTCAAATATTGAAAAAAAGGAGTTTAATTTGAAAAGTGTGTAGTAGTTATTTATAGAAGAAATACAAATTATTTCCAGGGTATGCTGGCATAATTACCCAGTTGAGAGTTTAAGACTTAACGAGTCACCTGTTTTCTAAAGCGTTCTTTCAAACTAGACATTGAAATTTTAAATTGTTCGACACAGTACTTCAAAACAATGAGCGCTTTCTATGAACTTGAGTCTCAAAGGCAGCAAAGCACCTTTAAGCACAAACCAGTTTTCTTGGCCCTGGTATTAATTAACTCGGCAACTTTTACGCGTCTTGAAAGTATAAACTTAACAAGCGAAGCAAAAACATCTCGCAGGAT